AAAAAAAAAAAAAAAAAAAAAAAAAAAAAAAATGCTGCTGACAATGGGTTAAAGGAAATGTGTTATTTGTTACCTTATCATAAGCCACTATATATATACTTTCTGTGTAAATCTTACCCTCTGTCTCCTTATTCTTAAGCACCTCCACTTCAGCTTTTAACCTCTTCTCCTTTGCCTGGTAGATTTTTAACAGTGGATCATCTCTTACAAGCTCATCATGGGGTTTCTTGTGTGTCTGGATGTCTTCATATAACTGAACAAGATATGGTTATTAGGCATAACTCAAAATTTTAAGCAGTATGAGGGCTTGCAGTTTTATACTGGCCATCAGATTAGATTTTAGTTGGGGGGTGGTCACCTCATGCCTTGGTTTAAATCCCTCTTATCAAAATAGCACAGTCCAAGGCTGGGTCCATGGAGACATACATTTTGACAGCAACCCTTGTAAAAAACTATGAGATCACTTATGTTTTATTTGTTTGTTTGAGGTGCAGCTTACATTTTTCATTTTTTTACTACGGTAACACAAGTATAAGCTGGGATGAATTTTGGTAGTTAACATAACAAAGAAAAAATCAGGTAGATCCTAAGAGTATCAAGTATAAAATTCCTAGATTTACCTGTGTAATTTGTGTCCATTTTTCTTCACATTCGGCCTTCAGGGCGGCTACAGCAGCTTGCTTTTTGAGCTGAATGTCTGAACTTGACATTATAATATGACAAGGCCTAGAAGATTAGAAAAATTGAAAACTTTACACAACAGTTGACTTCAGATAAATACTAATAGTGCCTCTACAAGTGTCTAGTCTACAACTTTAGCTTACTAGTAACTGTAAGTGTAAAAGGGCCACGATCAACACAAATATCTGTTGCCTGACATTTATCATTTTTTTCACAGAAACAACTCAATTTTGCATTAATTCACAATTGAATGGATATCCCCCATAGAACTTTATGTCAGACTTACCTAAGCTGCGTAATCGCTTTACGATCTCATCAACAGCACGTACATTCGTTTCTTGGATGTTTACATCTGAACTCCGCGCCTAGCTGAGCAATACGGCTGTTCTATCATGTGCTTAGCTTCCTACGTCATAAAATATTATTTTGACTGCTGTAACAACGTTGGTTTTGCAGTAGCCTTAGTGAATAAACAGTGTACAAAAGAAGTTGATTTGTTAAGCGTTTATTGCTAATTCTTATAGAAAGATAGACTTAAAATGATGATATTTTAGACTTTATTTAGACTAGAGTAACAGATGTATCCCGAGGACATAACAACCCAAGCTATCAATGAAGCCATCTATTGTCCAATGAACAAGGCTTTAACTGGGGCGATGGGATAATCAACCAATGAAAATCTTACCCTCACTTGTGCATGGCATTTCTATTGACTGAAGATGGCGTCAGTGGAGGTGAGTGCGAGTTTTAAATGTAATTTTCTGAAAAAAATCTGCAAATGTGCAAATAATCGTTACCCTAAATATTCAGAATTTTGCAGACTTATAATATAGATACCGATGCATATCTGATCTTAATTTCAACAGAAGACATAAAAAATTAAAGAAAATTTCATTGAATATAACCTGTACGATATCAGCTGTTTCAATGTTTACGTAGCTACTGCCCATTGATTGAAAACTTCTAATGACTTTTTGAATCGTGTATTCAACCCATTTTAAGTGAGAAAATTGTTATTTTTTCTGGGGTCACCCAATTAGTATGTAAGGATTCATACTTTTAAGCTGGAAGATCGTCGAAGTCCAGGTTTCGTTGCTTGTGCAATTTAAAGAAGTGTTACATTGAACATACATGTATGTACTACTACATTATGCATGCACTGCCTGTACCGGTGGGCGGGACTGGTACATGTAACTTACTACTACTACTACTGCTACAACTACTACCACTACTACATTATGAACTTTCAGTTTCCCTCCCTGATTTAACAAGTGCATTCTGTCTCCTGTATGTGCTTAAACTTGTAATGACTGGCAATTGACGAATGAACGTACTAGTACATGTACCTATCTGGTATACTATACCGGCGCATTTTTTTAAGCACATTTACAAACGCCAAGCCCAACCATTTATTTATCAAAACTTAAGTCATTCATCTCAGCATTATACTAATAACCCCAATATTCTAAACAGCCACAGAAAAGGCCCCACGTGAAAACTGAGCGGATGCAGGAATACTTAAGCAACAACTGTGATGTGCCTATAAGCCCCCAGCGACTCCTCAAGTGCCCCCATGATGGCTGTGATAAAGTTCTTACTAGCTCCCCGGGGCTGAGGTATCATCTGAAATCACATTACCAGGACAGACCTTACATGTGTGACAAGTGCAGGAAGACTTTTAAAAGGTGAGATGTTTGTGCCAGTATATTGTTTTGATGATCCCTTGGGAATTTATTTATTTATTTAGTATTTATCTGTTGATTTATTTATTATTGGATTTTCTTTTCTAAAGAGAGATATATATGTAAGATTTGATTAGTTTATTTTTAACTTATTTAAAAAACAATATAATTTTATTGTGCATTAGCTTATTATTATTATTATTATTATTATTATTATTATTATTATTATTATTATTATTATTATTTCAATTCAGGATGACTTTAGCATTGTTTTTGGGTTTGCAGATCATGATTAAAATTTTTACATTATGTGTAAAAATACTTTTTTAAAAATAAATTTCCCAAAAATTGAAAAAAAAGCTATTAGTATGAGTGATTTTTGTTATATGGGACATGCACTGTCTGTTTTGTCCTTTTTCAATTAATCCATTAATTCTTTTCAGCTCTAATGGCCTTAAATACCACAGAGAGAGAACATCCTGTGTAGAGACGTCTTCATTCCAGCCAGTGACTCTAAGCTGGGCAGACTCCAGTATCTCAGCTAATCTCTGTAGGAATATTACACCAACTTTAGAATGTGATGAAGGATCAGAAAGTCTTCCATGTAAGTCTATTGATGTATTTAGTTTTCATCTTGTTTTATTATTACTTTTTTGGTAAGAAAAATGGTGCAAACTAAGTTGGCTCAGTCAGCTTGTTTGGTAAGGGTGTTTTGCCCATGGTTGGCTGTAGCCTTTATTTTGTTGGTGAATCTAAAAAAAAAAAAAGTAAACAGCCATTATATATGTGACTACCACTGTAAATTGTCAATAAACAAGTGAAAGAAGAAATATATAGAAAAATCTTTTCAAATTTTTCACTGGCTTCTGGTGAATGCTATTTTGTTGATGAATCTAAAACAATTAAACAACCATTATGGGGCTACCACAGACTGTAAATTAATTAATAAAACAGTGAAATTAAAAAAAATAAATAAATAGAAAAACCTACAGTATGGTAAATGCTGAGTGTGATCACTTTACAATGTGATTTATAAATTTCTAGATTTTGGTCAATATGTTAAATTCTCCAATTTATTCTTATTATTTTATTGCCCATAGTAATTCTCTCATATCAGTTAGTTAAATCCCTGCTTCTTATTGTTACTTAATAGTTTAGTTCTTTTCTGATGTATAAAGTTTATCATTTAAATAATGAAAAAATATTGACCTGTTCATCCCACACACTAAACTTAAATTTTAACATCTTAATAACGATGCATTAATTAGTGAAATAAATCATAAAAATACGGTTATGATTTTTTTCTGCATGTTTATCAAATAAATTGATCTGTTTTTAAAGTAGTAATACTAAAAGAAACCCCTTTATTTTATTTTCTCTTCTCTTCTTTTTTCAATATGTAAAGGAAAAGTCACACAATCGAACCAAACAAAGAAAAATATACATTAGTTTATTCAATATAGATTTAAAAAATGATAAATATGCAACTGGTCTCATGTAGGTAACACAGTGAGCTGGGTATGTGTTTGAACATGCAAATGAGATTAACTGTTTACTTAACTTTCAAACAAACAACAACAGTTCACCAATCATGTGCATATGCTTCAGTCAGAGTAAACACTGGGTATTTAAATGAACTCGCTATAACACTATAGGCTATAGAAATTATTGTTTTCCTAGCCTATTCAGCTGTATAGTGTATTGATATTTTATTAGTTCCCTGCAATACAGGGTCTCTTGCCACATCCTGCTGTAAAACTTAACGCAGGCAAATTTTTCCTTGAGTTTATAAAATTTGTTGTCTTTCATTTTCCTCCTTCATAATTTTGTCTTGTTCTTTCAATATTGGCAATTGTATGGCCTAAAAAACCAAAGAATTTGTTCGATAATTGGTGTGAGCTAAGGGACCTCGCTGTCAATCCAGGTATTTAAATAAGCAATGTTTGGCGCAGACATCTTGAACCCTAGCACACAAGCTTGACAGTTGATTTTTTTCTGAAAAGTTACTAAGGCAGCTAAAACAGGACTTGCTAGCAATGGAGATCTGAAACATGGGGAGGCATAAAGGTAACTAGGAGCTTTTTTTAAAGTGACTCTGTGAAGAAAATGTCATTTGGGATCAAAGAGAGCAATGAATGTGAAGTGTGATGAATGGGTCCCCATTGATAAGGTACCATTCAATCTAATGCCAGTCAGATTTAATGTTGATTTATTATTTATCTAACCCATTTTACATCACAGACTGATGCGTGTTTCAAGGGGTTTGCATTTTTAAATTTTTAAACTTTTTTATTTTGATGACTCAAGATTTTTCTTTGAGTGAGATAACAACAAAGGAAAGCGTACTATTGAATGAGGTGTTGGCATTGTTCCAAGTTCTGTGCAAGGGGTTTCTGAAAGGTCACTTGCTGCTAGTCTTTTTCAATTTCAAATCAATAGCAACCATTTACATGACTTAAGACTCTACTGCAAGGTGAAAGTGTGTTCCTTTATTCTTTCAGAATAAGCTTTACTTTGTGCATTGGTCTCAAAATTTTATAAATAAAACCTATTGAATGCTTTCAATTACTGAACCATGTTGTTGTATTAATTATTGATTTCAAGTGTGAAAAAAATTAAACATACACATTGAGTATTACACAACAAATTAAATTTCACAAGACTGTGTTTAGAAAAAAAAATTGATTACATATGCCTTTGTATGATTGCTTGAAATTCATTCTTGTGTGGTTTGCACTTAATTATTCAAAATTTATTTATTTATTCATATTTTTTTCCATTGTTGTTACATTGAAGCAAGAATTTTAATGAAAATGTTCAAAAGAAATGTGAAGTCTATTTAGGTGGCATTCAAATTAAGGTCAAGAAATCTACTAGCATGGGACAGGATTTAATTCTGCATTTTGATTTTCATAGCATAAATATAATGGGACAAAGTTGACAACTTGTATATGATTCACATGCAAGTTTTGTTTTAAAAATCATTTTTTAAAAAAATTAATTAAATTTTTTGTTTTGCATTACTGCGTGAGGTAAATGTTTTGATATTAATATTAATAATAATCTTGCTGTATACTACATAATTGTTATATAATATTAAGCCATGGAATGTGATGAATTTATAACAGTATAAGTCCCCCTGTATTGTTAAAAGAAAAATGTAGAAAAATTTAAAAATTAAATTAAAAAGAAATAATTGCCCATAATGCTTTTAAACTGCTGAACATGTAACTTCCAAGGATACACAATCTAATCACATGATTTATAAGTAAATACTCAGCATATGACAATTATAAAACACTGACTTTTATTTTCATTATTTTACACCCAAGTCTTTTCAACCTTTTTATTTAAATTCATGAATTGCATTTGCCATCAGTATTTTAATAAGATTACGAAATCTGTTTCATGCTACTTGTATATAATATATAACAGCCTAATTATGTGTATACTTGAATATTTAATTTATGTTGTAATTTATTTTTGTATGCCATGTTAACTTCTAAACTGTTGATAAAAAACATTGATTGTGAATTTTAAAATTAGTTGCTAACTCTCTTCTATGTATACAATATAAATTTATGTATTAAGATAATTATATCATTTTACAGTTGATGATGATGAGGATGATGACATGTTAGAAGTAGTGACCACAACACGGTCAGCAAAACATACCCCACCGTCCCTCCGCCTGGACAGTTCGGACAGCTCGCCCATAGATGTGGTGTCCACTACAGATGGGGAGGACAGTAATGCCAATCATGTGACTGTCCAGCCTGTGTCCACTTCCAACTGGCTGGAACAGCTGGCCGAAATAGCCACAGGACCAAAGAGTCCTTTAATACAGAAACAGTCCACTGCTGAGAGGTATTGGAAAGTAACAACCACTAGGCTATAGACTATATTTAGGGGTTTTCTTCTTCTGGCTATTAATAACTATTTGTTTTCAACAATATCTTCAAGATTTTTTTTTATCAAGTTTCAGTCTTAAAAGCAGATTGATTTTATTCAGATATTTACTTAATGAAATACAAATTGATTTATTTTCTAACTTTCAGGCAACTATTATACCCAGTGTTTATAAAATTGATGCTTTTTTGTTTGTATTTTCTGTAGAAGTCCCACCAAAAGCTTCCTGGAGTGTTCTCTCCATTCATATGCTCGTCCGCCACGCACACGCTCTCCTTCCCCAGTGCGTGGGAACACAAGAAGTTTGTCTTCCTCTGCCTCAGAAAGTCATTTCAAATATAACTGGTGAGTTCTTTTTTCTTTTTGTAATGGCGTCTGGTTTGTTTGAGAGTTATCTTGTTTTAGGGATATTTGATTGGTCTCATTTGAAAAAGTGTGAGTGTATTTAGAATTTAGTTTTATGAAGAATTAGGCTAAAGAAAGTTCATCTATACAGAGATTGTTAAAGTTTTATAAGTACCAAGTTTTGCTGTATTACGGATTGTCAAGTATATAACTAAATTGGTGATCATTTCTTAAAATGTAAATTACACTTTAGTAAACAATAGTTTATAACATGGGGTACTTTTTTTCATTTTTTGTTTACAGTGTAAAGTTGGTGCTAAATAAAAGTACAATAAATAAATTTTAGAGACTTAGCATATTTACAGGCAGGGAGTGATGAAATGAAATGATCAAGCGTTTTCGAAGCAGGATTCAAATATCATGCCTAAGCCCTTATGGTTGACTTGGTTTTCCCAGTTTCATAGTAGTGTGTCAACTAAATAGTGTACTATGAATATTTCAGTGATGAAAGTGAATCTCGTGTGAGTTCGTCGTCGCCATTTCCCTCGTCCCCACTAGATGACAGTTACGGCAGCTCAGGCAGCTGGTCGCATTCCTGGCCCTCTGCAGTGTGGCAGTGCTTTATACAAGGTATGTTGGTTGGTTTATCTGTTGGTTTATCTTTTCATATGGAATTCCATTTCACTCTGTATTTTACATAATTTAAGTTTCCTATCCATCTCTTAGTTTGTATATAAAAATATATATATTCTTTTACATAATTAAATGAAATATCATTTTAAATAATATTATGTGTATTTAAATCTGAATTGTGGTACAGAGTCACAAACTTTATGACAGTTATTTGCTACTCACGTACCTCCTCCAGTTATCTTAAAATTTCCCTATCAAATCTGAAGGTATATGTTTAAAAGTAATTAAAAGAAGATCTACCTGCATTGATATCCATTCTTAGATTAGCACAATGGTACATTTATCTAAATTATATATTCTTATATTTTCTACTCCAGGAACAAGAATACGTTTCACAACGGGTAACAAAACAGAATGGCAGTTAGCGGAGGACCTGGCAAATACTTCGTATCTCACAGCTCAAGCTTCTCAAGACAATCTTCCAAAAGACAGCAAGTATGTTGCCATGATGTTAATTTTAGCGTAAAAATTTTAAAAAATTGTGAAGACAGCACCATTGCGGAATTAATTAATTAATTAATCAATTAATTAATTAATTTATTTATTTATTTAGCTATGCTCCCAATGGGCTGACACTTCTCCACATAGAAGAGTGCAAAGCCACAGAGCAGCGTCCAGTGCCATTTCTTCGCCTCAGGTTCTCCTCGGACATTCCCACGCAGTCAGAAATCATTGCTGAGTGTGCCTTGGATCATCCCTTCTTTGTCAGGGAGAAAGGTAAGTCAGGAGAGTCATAGTGTGTTATGGGTATTATTTCAGATACTTGATGGGTGTACTGTAGTTGCAGAAGATGAGGCAATTGCTCAGTTACCCAAAAAGATATTTGGCTTAGCTGATAAAAAAGTTTGAATTTATTTAACGCTAGCCCACTTTGAGTCTCTGATTACAGAAAGGGCAAGAGGCCTATAAAGTTTTTAGCACAGACTGCTATTGTCAGTTATGAACTAAAAGATACATGTGTTTTACGTTATGTACTTTCTCAGGTTGGTCCAGTTTCCACCCCAGTATGACAGTGGAGCACTATGGTATCCCCTGCAGTGAGCTGGAGGTAGGAGATATCACACTGCCTCCCTCACACCCAGAGGCTACATTTACTGTGGATGTCTTTGAGAGCTTCAAAAGGTTGGTTGTATGTGATCATTGTGCAAATGGTTTGCCATAAGGAGCTTCATTTTTATTTTGTACAAATATTAACTTTCCCATGTTGTGTGGTTTTCAGTTGTATATTTTCAATTGGTAAAGTTTACAATTACGATTTCATGATGATCAAATCAAAGTGGCTTCATCCACAGACTAATAAAGCCTTACAAGATAGTAATAGCATAGAAGACGTTAATATCATGCTAAAAATTTGATTTTTCTGGCGACGTCAGCCTTTCCTTAATCACCTACTGTTTTCGGGATTACAATCCCTGAACCAATTTAAAGTAAAATTTCTAGTGTTTGAGTGGCAGGTTTATTTCATTGATGACAATAAAATTAGAAATTTGGAAGTCCACACATAAGGCAATTTTCCCCCCATGGTTTGGATAGGGTTTTTCTTGATCATAATGGAAATGTTGCTGAGATTATTTTTCACTCCAAATGAATTCTAAAGAAGTTTTTTTGTTTATTATTATTATTATTTTTTATATTTACTGTATCTTTATTTTCAGTTATGACTTCACTCCTATGGATTCTTCTGCAGTGTTTACTCTTAGTACAATGGCCAAGGTAGGATAAAATTATCCACTATTACAAAAACTCAGAATATATTGAATCCAATTTCTTTTTAAATTTTACCTTAAATTTACTATCACACATAATTATTTTTTGTAGAGTCAGCTATTGCTTTTGTGTGTGTTTGATTTACATTTTTGTCAAAAGCAATTTAATCTAAATGCTGACTTTTAGAATTTGAATTTGAACAAAAAGTAAAAGAAAAGTCTATAGAATGATTTTAAAGATGTTGCAAATTTTATTTTGTTTAACTGTATACATATTTTCCTTTTTGGATTTACATGATTTTTATTTTATGTTAAATCTTTGAATCTTGTTCAGTTGTGACTTTCGTTTAAAGTATTTAATGAATCCTGTCCTCTATTTATTATATGAGTATTTAAAATGTCCTTGAGATACTTTCTTAGAATTAGTTAAAATATTATACAATCGTCATATTATCCTCAGAAAAGTAAAGAAAGTGACAGCTGGAGTCCAAAGTCCAGTCCCACCACTTCCCCCAACCGGAAGCGCCTCTCCAAGCCAGAGTCTCCCAGCAAGGCAAAGAGGCCCATGAACGCCTTCATGCTGTTTGCCAAGAAATACCGTGTAGAGTACACACAGATGTATCCTGGGAAGGATAATAGGTGGATTTATTTACCAATAGATAGAATTTAAAGTTGAAAATAATTACAACACTGTGATAAATTTCGATGAATTTGAAATTAATTCAAAAAGCCGTTAATTATTATAATTATAGTATGTGGTAAAAAGTAAGTTTGAATATTTTGCTTAATAGAATGACGGTACTACTCTGAAGTATCGAATAAAAGTACTGATGGAATAAATCTCAAAATTATACTACAGTGCAACAACTACATTAATACCTATTGAAGAAATATCCTATGTTAGATAAATAGGTATTAATGTAGTTGTTGCACTGTAGTATAATTCTATCAAATCCATATTATTAGTCAAGTCAAACTATTTTTAGTACCTGTTTTATCTCCATTTAATCAGGTTCTGAAATAAAAATGTGCAGACTTCTTCACCATGAGAACTAGATGCTGAGTATATTATAATAGTTGTCGGATCATCTGCAGTTGAAAGCTAAATTTGAATTGTATTTTTATAGTTTGGATAATATAACCTTCATCTTTTCTATTCTGATTCTTTCAGAGCCATAAGCTGTCTTCTTGGAGAGAGATGGAAAAAGCTGAAAAGTGAGGAAAGGAAGGCCTTCTCCTTGGAAGCCAAGATGCTGGCAGACCAACACAAGAAGATCCATCCAGATTGCTGGAAGAGAAAGAGATCCACTTCTACTGGGGTATGCTGTTGAATACTTGTAAATTAATTAATTAATCGGGCTTCTTTATAAGTGTTGATATTTTTTGGGGAATTTCTGTTTAATAATTTTTGTCAGCACTGGGATATGGAATGTGGGATTAATTTTATTATTATTATTTTTATTCTTATCATTATGTGTTCTCCTGATTCAGAATGGTTCAGTTCACCTCTTTATTCATCTTGTTTGACAATCTATAGTTTAACTGTGGCTGAAAAATATTTGTATTTTATTATATTTGTTTTAAATTATATATGTTGTATTTTATAATTTCAGAGTCTTGAATGACACACTGATCAAAAAGAGGGCACTTGAAGAAAAGAAAACTAAAACAAACAACTGTTACAGTAAAGTTATTTTACACTGCCATTTATTCATCATTATCTGCCTAATTTTTGGTCTGTGGACTGACCTCCCTCCATTTTTTTCTCTTCTTGTCTTGTGAATACTTTGTAGTATTCATTAGAATTCACTGCATTTAGAACATTCCAGTTTCAAATTGTTAATTATTGGAACTTTGAACGGATTAGACCCAGATTACCCCAGTCTTTGCAAGCTGGCTTAATTTATTCTTTTAGGACTATTTATTCTTATTTATATTATGATAGTTACACCTCTTAGTTTTACAGTTCTTGTAGTAAGAGCACTTGAAGTGAATATGTGGACTGTTCATTAGGTGCTGTATTACTGGCATTACGCCAATTTCAACCCAGCTTTTTAATGGTGTTCTCACGTTATTAGTGATTATAAGTAATATAGCCATGAGCTAAAGGATAGCTATATATATATATATGGTTTCAAGATACATTTGATAAGGCTGCTGAACTTATTAAAGAGTCCCCCTTATTATTAAGAAATACTAACTGTTATTTGATATTTTAAATGTATATATGATGGATATATATATTATTTGTATATGATTATATGAATGAAAACATGGGGTAAAGGTAATCTTCCGGTTAATAATAATATTGTGATGTCTGTTCTAATTATTAAGCATATTAAGTTTTTTCCATACATTTCCTTTATTTCACTATTCATTGATAGTAAGTATATAGCAAATATACTGCTGCTTTTTGAGCTAATTAAAAGCATATTGTGATATGACAATTACTGCAACAGTTACACTCCAGGTGCCAAGATGATAAAAACGCAGTGATTGTTTAGTTTTGATACTAAGTTTTAATCTTAAATTATATATTAGAAATAAAAGTGAATAGTTTTTTAAATTCAATTATTTATCATGTGCTTTGGCATGTCACAGTCTGTTACAGGGCAGATTCAGAACTTGAGAATTTGTTTTCACAGTACATATACCATTAAGTTCAATATTTATTTCTGGATTAAAATGAAATTATTATGTATAATAGCTTCATTTAATATTATGATATAATTATATCTCTAAAGTTGTGGCCTAGTACTGAATGGTTGCTTTGACAAGATATACTTTTGTTTCTACACCTAGTCCATGCTTTGGGGGTGCCTTTATTTAAATATAGAAAGAAAGGCCAATTGCTATAACTACTGCAGCAGTTTGAATATTAAAAAATATACTAAATTTCTGCAGGATGTAATTCACTCAAGGGTAAAAGTTGAAATTTTACAAGTTAAAAGTCGATTATGATCATTATTTTTACTACTGTTTAAATTGTATATCATGATCTCAGCATGATGTAATTCAGTCAAGCCTTCCTGTGGTCAAGAAGTGGTCAGTCTGATGGTGACCAGTACTGATCTCAGCACTCTCCTGTTTGTGCCAATTTGTACATTTATAGATATATTTCTAATTATTTACTGTACATACTATCAGTGCTATCAGAAATCTTTATAATATTATCGTATATTCGATATCAAGAATCTTACTAGTTATTTACCAAGTTTCCTTCAGTGTATGGAATTGCGAAGAGAAAAGTTAAGGATTTTTAGCTCCAGTTGAAAATGAAATGATGTGAAAAGACATTTACATTCCTGAACAGACACATCTTCCAAGTGTCAACTGGTACCAAATATATACTAAGTCTTATAGCTGGCTAAGGCAACATTTGCATGCTTTTTATCCTACAGGTTAATATTCGGTTGTCAATGAATATTCTTGATGATGGGTTATGGATACTGTGCAAACTCATCCTACCCTTTCTGGGCTGCAGTTGTAAGTGGTTCAATGCTGGACCATTGTTTTGATGCTGATTTTTTTCCTCCTGTCAGTCTTTTTAGGTGCCTTGAGTACCACAAGCTGTATACTGTGCTGCAGATGCTATGCCAGTTTTTAATGTTTTTTCTACTGTATAAATTCACATCTTATACTGTAATTTGTTTTTGGTGGAATGCAAGGAACAGATATTTTCAAAATTTAGTTAAGCAATTTGTTTATAGTGATATTTATGAAGGCACTTGTGGAGGAGTTCAGTTTTCAAAATTTGCATTTAATTTACAATAATTATATCATTTTAGTTTTATGAAGTCTATCCAGATTAATGCTGTTTATTAGTCATTTGCACATTATTTTATATCACTCTATTTTCCTCAACTCGAAATTGTATTAAAGATGCCTGATGTTTGCCCTTTTTTTGTCTAAAAGTTGTCTTGGTGCACCGTTTTGTATGCTAATTTAAAGTTTGTTTTCCGAATTGAATGTACAACATATTATTTCTTTTATTTTTCATATTGAAAATATGATAAAATAAAGAAAATTGAAATCAAATGACCCCTTTTCGGATTTCGTCTTACTTTATGTTACTTTTATCTTGCTGGCCATGCAAACTTACGTAGGGAGAATTACAAATGCATGTTTTTATTTTTTGAAAATATTTAATTTTATTTTACAACAGCACTGACACATTACAAACAACTCATGGAAAATATTCAAGTTTAATGTGTAATATGTATAAACTGATCCTCGGCATTAAGTTGGTTCAACAGAGAAGTTTACAAATGTTTACATATAAAATACTATACAATTCTAAGCACAGTTTTTGTCGCCTGGGCACATTAATACCACCAATACATTAATTTAAAAGCTATAATATTAATAATTGCATATCACTGCTTACTAAGAACCTATCTTCTAAGGCAGACAGTGTATGTTATCATCTTCAACTAAATTGTTTATAATTAAGGCAAGCACTTATCACATCACATTATTTATATTATTCTTGACAAATACTGAATAAAGCAGTCCGTTTTCATGCTGGCAAAAAAGTTCATCACAGTGAAGAAAAGAGGGATACAAAATACAGTCAATTATGATTTTAAAGCACCATAGTTTGTTTTAATAATTACACATGAATAAGTAAAACTTATCATTCATCTAATCCCAATATTGTTGTAAGTTAAAAGATTAACAGCACCTATAGTAAATATCAAATGTTGAATACACTATAATACAAACTTGTGAAAATCAATTCAAAGGGATAAATCACTGCTTTTTTCTTTGAGGGTGACAGTCTTACATATCACAAACTTTTTTTCCTTAATAACCTGTACTTGAATTATATCAAAATTGTATCAAATGTATCAACATTATCAAAAGTATGTTGTTTTTTTTTCATTGATGTAATTACTAACCCTGCTCAAAAATTGCATTTTCTTCTGGTAAGCAAAATTGAAAGGAATGCATGTAACCATTATTTTGATTAGCTGATGCCGATTCCATGATGGTGGTTCACCTAAATAATTTACTACTGCCTGTGGTCTAAAATAGTGAAGTTTTCCTTGTTATAAAACAGGCACAATATTTTTTCTAACTTGACTACAACTGATTTATCTCGTGTCATAGCAGTAAGTCAAAGACTAAAATCAGGTTCTGAAAATGTGGCCCAATTTCTAGGCTGAGGTTCTTCTGGGAAACAGAAACAATGTGCATACATGCATTTATGTATATTGTAAGTTTTAATAGTAATGCTGTCCATAATACCCAGTGAATAATCCCTAAAAAGCACCATTTGTGTTAGATTTAGTATAAAATAGGGTCCTATAATTTGGAAATAATGCTGGATAGCCTGCGACACCAAACAACTTAAGTTGAAACTCAGTCTTAGAAGAAACTACTGAGACCTTTAATTGACCAAGTCACATAAAATCTTTAAAGCTGCTTACGTACCTCTATTTTTCAGTTTCTTAACCAAGCCTGTTTTGAATTAGTGTACAGTACAATGTACATAGTTCATGCATATGTACACACAGTGATATTATTATACATACATGTCTTGTCAGCAACTTTTATATTATCTATCCCCAATGGGCNGTTTACATATAAAATACTATACAATTCTAAGCACAGTTTTTGTTGCCTGGGCACATAAATACCACCAATACATTAATTTAAAAGCTATAATATTAATAATTGCATATCACTGCTTACTAAGAACCTATCTTCTAAGGCAGACAGTGTATGTTATCATCCTCAACTAAATTGTTTATAATTAAAGCAAGCACTTATCACATCACATCATTTATATTTTTCTTGACAAATACTGAATAAAGCAGTCAGTTTTCATGCTGGCAAAAAAAGTTCATCACAGTGAAGAAAAGAGGGATACAAAATACAGTCAATTATAATTTTAAAGCACCATAGTTTGTTATAATAATTACACATGATTAAGTAAAACTTAACATTCATCTAATCACAATATTGTTGTAAGTTGCAAGATTAACAGCACCTATAGTAAATATCAAATGTTGAATACACTATAATACAAACTTGTGAAAATCAATTCAAAGGGATAAATCGTTGCTTTTTTTCTTTGAGGGTGACAGTCTTACATATCACAAACTCTTTTTCTAAATAACCTGTACCTGAATTACATCAAATGTAACAAAATTATCCAAAGTATGTTTTTTTTTTTCATTGATGAAATTACTAACCCTGCTCAAAAATTGCATTTTCTTCTGGTAAGCAAAATTGCAAGGAATGCATGTAACAATTATTTTGATTGGCTGATGCTGATTCCATGATGGTGGTTCACCCAAATAATTTACTACTGCCTGTGGTCTAAAATAGTGAAGTTTTCCATGTTATAAAACGGGCACAATATTTTTTCTAACTTGACTACAACTGATTTATCTCGTGTCATAGCAGTAAGTCAAAGACTAAAATCAGGTTCTGAAAATGTGGCCCAATTTCTAGGCCGAGGTTCTTCTGGGAAACAGAAACAATGTGCATACGTGCATTTATGTATATTGTAAGTTTTAATAGTAATGCTGTCCATAATACCCAGTGAATAATCCCTAAAAAGCACCATTTGTGTTAGATTTAGTATAAAATAGGGTCCTATAATTTGGAAATAATGCTGGATAGCCTGCGACACCAAACAACTTAAGTTGAAACTCAAGTCTTTGAAGAAACTACTGAGACCTTTAATTGACCAAGTCACATAAAATCTTTAAAGCTGCTTACCTCAAATTTTTCAGTTTCTTAACCAAGCCTGTTTTGAATTAGCGTACAGTACAATGTACATAGTTCATGCATATGTACACACAGTGATATTATTATACGTTCATGTCTTGTCAGCAACTTTTATATTATCTATCCCCAATGGGCACACATGATACACAAACAGACTTCACAAACTGCAGAGTTGCAAACTTTTGTCCATAATTAGATGTGATTCTACTCAGATCAATTTCAGATTTGATAAGTGCCAACTTCTTCATTGTTTAATTTCCATGCATGCCCACGTGTCTTAACTCAAGCAGCATTTGATTTAAGTTCACCATGTCAATCACAAATGTAAAATCAGGGATGAGACTTCCATTTAGTAGAAAAAAATGAAAATATGGCCGGGGGTCCAGGGAGCCACCCAGGTCAATGATATTTTTGGCTCCCAAGAAGTTGGAAATCTGCCAATAGTCGAAAAACCTCAACCCCGAAAATGTTTTTTTTTTAATTTTCTTTGCATACCCTTATACAGTACCACAAAATCCATTATGATCACATACCCATATGTGCCTTGCATGACAAACTTCAAAAAAAAAACTTAAAAAGGTCAAAGACCTGTGTCAAGCTAGCTGATACTGTCTGAGGGAACAAACAACATCTCGTATGATCATTTTACATTTCTCTGCCACATCTTTAGAAAACAACAGTACGTTCAGTCTCTTGTGGAGATTTTGTGCCACGGTGCCATCTGAAAAATCAATAACATATTTTTAAACAACAGATCTGTAAATTTGGTGAAGTTACACAAAGATTCACATTTGCTACAGTAGACAAAAACCAAATAAAGAAGTATTACATAACATAACACAACATAATATATCATTATTGCTTCAAAATTATATTTCAATTACTTATTAAAATGACAAAGCACATTAAAACTCTTATTTTAAAACAATAGATTCTATAATATCAAACATAACTTACTTGTCTTTAAAGCTTCAGTGACAGGTCCATTGAGCAGATGTTGTAGACACAGACAAGCCGTCTCCAGGTGTGGACTCAGCTGAACTGGCTCCAATAGTGTCTCCAGCTTCTCCAGCAGTTTCATGGCTGGTTTTACTCTTGATGTCCTGAAATTTTGATATATATGAACATATAATTAGCATAATATCTGGGAATAAATTAACATATTATCAGGATATATATTTTTAAAAAGACTGCTATTGCTGAAAATAGCATGCCCAAAACAGACTACTATTGCACCAAAGGTAATTTTGTTTATTTATCATTACTATTTTTTTTTTTTTTTTTTTTTGCAAAACAAAATGAATTGGGAATATAATCAAAACATAAAGAATTTTTAAAAAAATTATTTGCTTTTAACAAGCAATTCCCCAAATGACCATCTCTACTTACTTGCTAGTAGCAGCTTCAATGATGTTCACCACAATGGCTGGGTCCACGTCTTTCAGGATCTTCCCTTCCAAATACCTGGGGTCCTTTCCCCTTGTGATACAGTCCAATAGGTAGGGTGACCCCTTGACCTCTGACAGGACCTCGGTCAGTGGCTTGTCCAGTAAACTTAGGGAGGAGATGGGCTTCTTCTCTTTCCAAAGGGTGAAGATGTGGTTGAGGATCTGACAGAGGAGATATTGAACATTTTAATATCAAGTTTACAATTGAATTCAACCATCTTGCACTTTGATTTCAATATTTTTCATTGACAAAGATTCAAAATGAAAGAAGAATGATGCACTGGATCTGTCGTGCAATACAAATTTGATTCAAATTAGTACCCTACAGTTACTGAAAATAAATAACATGAGTTCAAAAAACCAATGCAAAAACATTATCACTAAATTAATTTTTTATACAAATTCATGATAGATGAATGTGATTTAGTCACTGTTAAATAGTATACTAACATGAAGTAATATTTTTTTTGTAGGATGCTAATATGACATTGAGCACTGTCATTTCTCTTGAAGATAAAACAATAAGCAAATAGGTAACCACTGTTAGCATACATATGCAAGTGCAAGCTTTGTTTATAAAAATCATGAGGGGAAAAAGATTAATCTGATACCTCTTGGTTTAAAAAAATTATGACCAAATCAAAAGTGAACAGTCTGTTTCCATCATGCCTCGTGATCTTGTTTCTCTACAGTATACGCGGTGAAACAAGATTTTTATACCAAAAGGTAGAGGATCTTCTCTTTCTCATATTTTCTATAAGCGTCTGCTGCCCAATTCATAGTCTCATTATAAAATCAATATAAACTAAAGGAATAAACTGAAGATTTTTTGCTGGAAAACACCAACCAATTTTCTTACCAGAGTTCTCAGCGCTAAAATCTGGCACATTTTCTCATGATCATTACTCAAAGTATCTTCTGTGGATTCTTCCAGTTCGTACAGCGGCTTCTGTTCTGTGACCTTCATGGTGACATTAACAAGTGGAATTATCTGGAAAGTTCTGTCCACTTTCTCCACCACAGGTTTCTTCCCAATAACAGGTTTACTTCGTTTAATCCTGGAATTTTTTACAGTTAAATCTGCCTTGTTTTTTTCTATGGGTTTCAATGGCTGAGTATTTTCAGGCTGTTGGTTTTCAGTTTCAGAAGGTTTTTCTTCTTGGGGGATGAGGTCACTGACATGGTGTGTATCTTCTATGGGTGTCGTGGCGTCTTTTTTGGCTAAAAGGGTGTCCACGTGAGGCTCATGTATGCTCCCCCACATGCGTCTGCTGCTGGTCATGTTATCGTCCTCACTAACGCACTCGCCAAGGTCACTAGTGTCAAAATCGGGGACAAGTTTCTGAACCCAGGAGGGAGCCTCTGGCGGGGTGACATCACTTCGCGGAAGTTCGATAGACTCAGTCATGGAGCTCGTTGATAAAAGAGTGTCAACATCTGGCAGGTGAACGCTGCCCCACATTTTTCTCGATTTTGAATCCTGGTCCTCTAGGTCCCTAATTTCCTCGGCAGACTTAGAATGTTTCACCTGATTTTCCAGCTCTGTTTCGTGGATATGTATGTTTTTCTCAGAGGAGAACCGTCTGACCCACTGGTGCATTTGAAATTCTTTGAATTTGGCATATTGAACCACTTTTCCTCCTGGAGAAACGGCACTGACAGACATAACACCATACTGTTCCTTCTCAGGAGCATATTTGGTCTCCTCACTCATCTTCACCCCTCCAGATATAGATTCTTTAGTTTCTTTGTTTTCTTTGGCAGTATTCACAATGGCACTATTTGTATGTAGTTCTTTGTTTGCTAAAATAAGGGTGAAGTTTCCTTTACTTACACTTTCTCTGTGCTTGTCTTTATCAGTATTTTCATTTTTTCTGCGATGATCTGCATGTTCTTTGTGATTGGCCTCAAGAGTTTCAGCACCGGATTTGGCACTCGATACTATAGGTGCCTTAGAATTTCCTACGTTACCCTTTTTCTTATCTTGGTCAACACTTGTTTCATTACCGATAACAGCAGTTCCACTTGCAACCTCAGATGTATGATTTACTTGCGGTAATGAAAGTCTAGGTGAACCGCCATGTTTTTGAAGACTCTTTTTTACTCCCTCCCTTCTTCTAAGCTTTGTTTCCAAATTAGTTGACTTGATCCTTGGACTAACTGCATTTGATGCTTGTTTTCTATCAAGAGGTCTAGGCGATTTTGCCTGTTTTGCTGTCTGAAGATCAAATTCTGAAGGACTTTGCTCTGGTAATTCTGAATCCTTGTTTCCAGACTCCTGTTGGTCAGATATTCTTAAAATTGATGGAGGCTGTGCTGGATATTGTTGTTCAGTTTTAGGCTGATCTTTTAGTCTTGGTTTTGGCCTTGGTGATACAGTCTCTCTCTGCTCTGGTTCAGTGTTTTCTGATAGCCAAGAATTTCCCTGTGGCTGCCTCAAATCTGACAGTTCTTCCATGCGTCCAGTGTTTTTACTCAGAGTCTGTAATTGTGTTGAGTTCAAAGATAAGTTCTCAGAATCTGACATTTTCACACTTTGATCAACAATGTTCTTTTCTTTAATATTCTCCGGTAACACAGAACATAGATCTGATATTGTGTCTGTTACATTCTGACTGACCACCTCTCCAGCATCCCCAACCTTGGTGGCTTGACCACTGTCTGCACTGCCAGCTTGAGCAATATCCAATCTGTTAGTATGCAATTCAGCCACTGAAGCATTCTCAACTATGGTTTCATCTTCAGTGGATTTGCAGTCTAATTTTACTTCTTCTCCAACAAAGTCACTGACAGGATTGGCAAGCTTATTATCATTTCCTACATTTGCATCTTGAGAGCCATCAATTTCTGTAGTCAATTTCCCTTCCTTTACATCCACATTAGCTGTAAGGCAACCGTCACTGAGGTTTTCAGGACTTCTTGAGTCCTTGCAAGTAGCACTAGTATTATTACTTATTGTACATTCATCAATGACTTCTGTAGACTCTACAGTTTTTGCTACTCTATCAGTGTCAAAAGAATCCTTTGTCAGCAAAGATTTATTTTCATTGTCAATATTTTCCTCTGCTGTCAAGCTGGATATTTTTTGCGTTGATATATTGGCATTATCACTTTTGATTTCCTGAGATGGGTCAGATTTGTCTAGATGGCTGCTATCATTGGGAACTTTCTTACAAGAAGCTGATGGGATATCTTGGGTTTGTGCTTTCGGTGTGTCCTGACCTGTGCCCGAGTCCAAATCAAGTGACACAATATCACCTGTTCCAAAAAGTAGAGATGCCACATCATCGTAAACATAGTCATTGGAAGACAAATGCTGAAAATCAGGTCTCTCACTTTCTGATGCCTTTTGGGGGGTTCCATTGCTAGAAGTAGAGTCCTGAGAAACAGAATTACCTGGCAATGTCACTGCATTGTCGTAAATGTCTGCAGCAGATTCCTGACCTGTAATTGCATTTTTCACATTCACTGTGTCCCCTGTAGTTTGAGTGTCATCACACACAGTGGGAGTATCACCTTTGTTATCCGATGAACTCTGTACTGTCACCTTATCCCCTGTAATGATGACATCATCATAGTCTGCTGCTGTGTAACCTTGGTTACAATGTGAACTCTGACCTGTGGTGTCATCTGGACCATAGGTGTCACCACTGGCACTCTTTGTGCTTACGTCACATGAAATATCTGCCTTGGAATGTGTGTCAGTTGGAATGTTTGGCTGTGACTGAGATAAGGTGGATAGCAGATTTCCATCGTGTTTTCCTGACGAAGAGAAACTATCAGATCCACTGATATCGCCATGGTAATGCAATTCATCAAAAAACGATTCTCCATCTGTGGTTGTTATTGATCCGCCAAATGTGTCGTCTGCAAATGAAACTTTCTTGTTCATTTGGTCCATGGAGGGAAATTTCTTCAGGATTCCTCTGGAAGGAGGTGACACTGGAAGTGGGGACGTGTTGTCCACCTTAATGTCTGGTGTATTTTCACTAGCTCTGAAAATACAGAGAAAAACACTTTGGTGAACTGTTTTGCTTCATTTCAAATAATGATCTCCTTTAAGTAGTTATTTTGTCACCTGAAATTGAATTACATTTGAATATCACACAGCTGGGCAGCTTATCCAATTAGCACACCAAGTTTAGGTCATGTGACCATCACAAGACAAAAAAGACAGCAATCGGAAGCAACATGGTCTTAACATGTTACAAATAGGTTTTTATAAAATTTTAAAGAACCTACTGTGACTGATCTTCTTCACTTTCTGAGGCAGCAACAAAAAAGTTGAGCAGACGTTTCCCTTCAGTGACTATGCCAATGTCTTTGTGGTGATATTCCATCATGTGTTTCACCACTGGAATGGAGTACTGGGCAATATGTTCCAACACTGCTACATGCTTGTCAATCTCAGACTGGGTCAAGTGTCGCGTTTTCTCTGAAAAATTTAAAAAAAATGTAGCTAGGAGGTAAAATTTGCAGTCTTATCATGGAGTTTTGTTCTGCTTTTTGCCTGACACATATCAGCTGCAGAGAGAATCAGAATTTTCTGTAAAATGATTATATATTGTATTATTTAGGAAATTGACAACAAATACTTAATATACTTTAACAATCCTAAAACCTCACAAGTATACTGCGTTTTTTCTTTCTGTTATATGTAACTCAAAAACTTACTGTTTTTCATTAGTCCCTGAACCAAAGATGTTTGTGAAGCTGCTACATTCGCCACAGCCTGAGCTGCCATTTTGACTACTGCAGGCTTCTCTTTAAAATTGTGCATGGCACGAGTTAACAGATCAACACCGCTCTCTCGTACTGGAGCCTGAAAATTACCATTTATAAACAGTTACACGGAACGCTCACACCTGATCTTGTATACCACTTACTAAAACAATTTACTTTCACAAAGGCCAATGATAGACAGTTAGTATAATTATTATAAAAGAATACTGAATATTATACAAAAAATGGAAAAATGGAAAAATCATATGGATGAAAATTTGAAGAACAAATAAATAAAAGATTGCAACATCAGTCAAAATACACAAGAAAGTTATTATCTAAATAAAAGAAACACTTCACCACACACACCTTCTGGTTTGGCAGCGGTCTGTACTGTGCCAACATTGCCAGTATCCTACAGCAGTGGAGCTGAACCATCTCCACTGCACAGTGTGCCGCCATTGTCCCCATCACCGTCGCTGCAGCATGGCACTGGATGAAGATTTCACTGTTCTGAGGGATGCGACAAAGTATTGCCAGAATTCTCAGCCACATTACATTACTTTCAACAGGGTCCTATAAGTAAATATGAAGACATAAGACTCTACAGTTACTGTTACATAGTAAAGCCTAGGTCCCAACTATGTTTTGGACGCACGGTTTTTAGGTTTCTTGCGTCCTGCTAGGACGTAGCTAGATCGCACGTAGCGGCTGTTGATCATGTCGAAAAGTTTCTATGTGCTGTTTGCATCCTCCAAAAGTCGCACGATGGACTTGCTCCTCACACACAAACTCCCACATTTTCCTCATTTTTTGGCTGTAGACCACACATAGCAGCCCGTACGTTCGGTTGGGACCTAGGCTTAACGGTTAGATATTTGGAATTAAGGACTACTGAAGAAGAGAAGCAAGCTAACATCGCAGGTACCTCTATCCCACAACATGGTGGTAACTGGACTCTCTGTTAAAAAGTATTCCAGTTTGGACAGTGCAATGACTGCAATAAAGCCAGTCACTGTATACTTGTTCTTCATAAGTTATTTCGCTTAACAATCAAAATATTGAAAGTTTGAACTTTCATCCCAATACTGGTCAAATTAATTTCTATTATTCAAAGATACCAGCAAAATGTTTACATGACTTGTTTCAAAACTCTATATTACATTCATTACCAGTGAGTATTGGAGCAATTGCACCATTAGTTTTATCAAAGGAGCAAAGATGGCATGACTCTCTCCACCCATTGCTTTCTCCTCCTGTCGATACTCAGTAATGAAGTCGCGAAATGCCGAGTCATCTTGGCTGGCTATTTCCTGTGTTGAAAAACAAATGAACAAATTAAAATGGAACATGTTTTGAAAGCAGTGGAGTTCACAAAATATTCATTGTTCACTGTAAATATTTAGAGTTATAAAGCAGCTTTGAAAAATTTTCAATAAGACTCCTAAGGCTAGTAAATAAATCTGGTACAAAATAAACATTAAAAGTGCTTGCAAATTCTCATCAAAACACAACTCCAAATTTTCAGCCAAACAAATCAACAAATTCTTTGGTAAAGAATAATGAAAATAAAATATAACTCGAGATACAATTTGTCTAAAAGCAGTGTCTTCTGTCTTACTGTCTTCTATAAATTAAAACCTAAAAATACCACAGTCTGTCTTTAATTTCATAGCACTGTCTTCTTAAGGCTAGGGTCATTACTCAAAACTCATTCCACTTTTTACAATTATAATTTCTTTTATAGTTACCTGAAACATTTTGAAGATTGTATCCACCTCCACTGCTCCAAGTTCAGAATCACAATACAACAGGAGCTGACGGCTGGTGTAGGATGCTGATAAGCTTGACACCTGAAGTATTTAGAAAATGCAGTTTGAATAACACTTATTGTCACAAAATCAGAGATCAGATTTTTTAAGTCATTATAAAAAGAAATACTGGCCTCCATGATGGAAATGATGTTAGTCATCACGAAAAGCAAAAGTGTCATCATCTGACACACAAAAGTTCCACTTCACCTGTTCTGGTGTCTTTAACTGTGCAAACAGCTGGTCGTCTTCAGACAGGACACACCATTCTGAAGACAGAGAGGACTCCTCTTCCAGTGAGTGCAACGGTAGTGACATCTGGGGGAGAGAAAAAAAGTTATCAAATATAATAGATAGTCATGGTTTGATAAAGATTCTGAATGAAATCTTTGTACTATTATCATTCTGTGGCATAAGCACTGGTTCTACTGCAGAAATTGAAGCCAGGCCAGTGATTTGTTTCACATTTTCACTCACTAAAAACTATGTCTGCCCAGGATGTAAGATTTCTAGACTTTGTTGCCCTGAGGGGCCACCTAATTAAGCTTTTGGCTCATACACTATTATCACAGGCTTGGGGAAAACGACCAAGCTGAATTTATTAAAATATAACATGTGTTTTGACAATTAAACAAAAGATGAAGTAAAATAAACAGATTAACTAAAAACAGAGAGCAGGGTCTTACTGCAAAACTTACTGTCTTCTACTAAATCTACATTTTAATACCTCTGTCTTTAACTTTGAAGCACTGTCTTCTGCTTCTTCTTTTGGCCTTTGGTACTCAAATGTCCTCTTTGGCTTTGGGGGAGGCATCTTTGGAAGATTTTCATTTGGACTTCCTGGACTTTTCTTCTTCTTTTTGGGCTCTTTGGATCGATAGCGGTAGAAAAATGAACCACATTTTATAGTGTTACCTGAAATTGGAAAGAAAAACAAAGGTCAGTTTTTCAGTAAAATTACAGAAAATTTACAGAAGACAGACCACAGCACATACTCAACAGACAATGCTCAGACTAGACCCAAGGTCAGCTCATATATATTCCGTTTTTTTATGCAGCCAAATCAAGTTACTTTTCTATATATTTACAGTATTTTTATTTATATACTAACCTTACCAAGTGAGTACCCCTTCTTGTTTCAAATTTAAAAATTACATTCTAAAACGATGCAGCCTCTTCTATCTGTTTTAATATAAGTGTCTGCTAGTAAGCATTCACAATAGCAATAGCATTGGCCTACTTTCAAATCATGTGCCTCTTCTCACATATGAAATATATAGCCTGGCCCCCCCTTTATTTGTCAGTTATGTTCCCCTTGGCTATGTTGACCATGTGACAGACTGTCAGTCTTATAAATTACATCTTCAGCTAGCTAAACAGATGCACTTTCATTTTTAGATAGGTGGCACTTGACCTCAATACATTACACAGGTGCATTATAACTACTAAATGCAAATATTAGCAGATATTTTTGGTAAAACAGGTTTTTATTGTCTCTTGTGTAATGGTGATTAAGACATAAAAGATTTCTTAAGGGGTTTAAGGTGCTTTTTCTTTGATGAAGAGTTGAAACTTCCATCGACATCATCTAGAAGGAAAAACAAGTTTATTTCTGTCTCTTTAGAAGCAATTTAATTTTATCGCAATTTTTTTTGAGAAAACTCAATGTTCAAAACGTCTTAGAAATTTTCTTCTCATTAAAGATATATATTTTAAGGTAACAATTTGATAGGAAAGCTCGTTTGGTGCCAGGAAAGCATTGTGGATCACAGGACATTGGTTTACTGTTATCTTTTTCAATCTAGTCTAGCTTAGAATCTTAATATTGTTTGATTTTGCATTGAATTTGTCATACTTTCAAAAGTTTCTCAATCTAAGCATCTGTACTAAAGTCACTTTATTGCAATAAATGAAAACTTCAAGTGAAGCAATGAAATTAATGTCCGATTTTAGTCAGTACAGTGCATGCTGATACACCTGTTGTTTTCTTTTTTTTTTTTGATTTCATTTTTTTTTTTCATTTTCTTTCTTTTTTGTTTTTGTATTAAGTGCAAGTTTTTATAACCACCAGACAAATCGATCAAATAGCGGCAAGGTTGGGTTCTCACAGAATGAACTCATTTTACTCACAGTCAAACATCTTCATAACCTTAATAAAACTGTAAAATATTAAAGCTCTGCGTTGTGTCCTTATTAAGATACAGCCCCGATTATATTTCACTGGTTTCTGGTGTCTCCGTCTTACTTTTCAACTGTGCGAGTGATGCATTTTCCTGCAAGTTTGCTCCACAAAAAGTGCATGAAGTAATCGTCACATTACTTTTACCTATAGTATATTTGAAAGATGGATGAAAGAACTTCTTAAATGTGTAAAGATTTTTTACAATGTCGTTGCCATGGCTACAAACTACCGGGGTTATTTTGGGTCACTTCATGGAGGTCTTGGATACCCACCCTATTTACAACTTAATATCTCCACTAGTAGAGCACATTAAGTGTTATCATTTATATCTACTACAAAAATAGGCATGCGGCCTACAATAAATTGAAACAATAGCGTGGCCTTTTTCCTAGATCGCATGCACCAGCCACGCAAATACCTCTATTTTATCGGCTTCGTTATCATTATAAAGTCCACTCGAATATCGCTTCTCGAAGTTTCTATTTTCTCATCCGTGATTGTTAAACTTTTTGTGCTCTTTATTTTACCCCAAATGCAATTTATTAATTTATTTCACGTAAATAACTGCATACAAGGTTAACTAGAAGTAATATCGGGTGCCGATGAATTCGAAACTAAGATCGTTTGGCTTTTGTGCCTAGTACAAGTAAGATGGCGGAAGAGTCCGAGTCTCTCCGCTGCAGATTTTCTGGATTTAAAGAAGGAAGGCAGATACGATGTGGAACTGCGAGTGCTTACAAAGACGAGAAAAACTTTATTGTAATCAGGAGATGCAACAAAGATGTAAGTGGGCACCTAATAATGCTGAAACTCAGCCCAAATGTCGTACAGAGTGAGTGGGCTCTAATATTGATGCGCTGTGGTATTTTTTCCACTGAAGAAATGGAGAGTGAGTTGGACTCCGTTATCTGTCCAGCCCATCGTTATAAGCTCGGGATTAATTGGAGAGCTGGAAGAACTTGTCACCACCCACTGCATCGGGGAAAACGGAAGCCATCAAGGCCAGTGAGTCCAGCATTATCAAGAGAAATCATGGAAAATTTTGGTGTCCTACTTCCAGTGGGGTCAGGTAATTACCCATTGCGCCATTTTGTTTCTTGTTTGGTCACAAAAATGATTTTCGGTCGGGGATAACAGATTTACATATTCTTCATGTCTAAGAGTAATGTCGTTAATAGTTAGCTACATTTTACTACTTAGTCATTTATCCCACTTGATTTTGATGCTTTGTAATTCGCAGGTATCTGTCCTTATTGCCGGAATGCTCATAAAGAGCATATGGAGAAAAAATTTCCTGCTCAAACATTGCAAGTGGCTGCTGCAGATCAGCCATTTCCAACTGAAGTTGAATCAGAAAATATGCCAGAGGTAAATGTTCAAATTTTAAATTAACTTAAATACATGTACATACATGTACAAATTAGCCCATTAAGTATTAAACATTTGAGATTTTTTTTTTTTTTTTTTTTTTTTTTTTTTTTTTTTTTTGTAATTCGCCAGGTGGGCACCACAAGATATTTTTCCATATCATGTATAAATTTCAGTATGCTAAAGTTTTGGTTTTAATTTGTAAAATCAATAATAATAATATGTAATGAAGCAAAAATAATTTGGTTATTTATATTTTTTGTAGACAAGGATTACATAGGAAATTCTAGTAGTAAAACAATGAATTTCAGTTGATGAAATGTATTTCCCTATTGCTTTAGCAGGGTGTTGATGAGGGTGAGGAATATAGTGACGTTGGAGAAGAACCTATGGAAGAGCAAGATGTTGGTGAAGGAGGAGAGCCTCAGCCAGGTACCTCAGGCTTGCAAGTCTTTTCTGATGTAGAGTCAAGCTCTAGTGCTGACACTCAGCATCCTGTTGGACAGAAAAGGATAAAGGTGATTACAATGTATAAATTATTAAAATGTTTGTGGGAACTAAATAAAATGAATTATAAGATTAAGTTGTAAAAATAAACTTCATTCATATTTATAGTTTTACAAAAAATAAAAAAACTTTGTAAAAATTTGAAATGGAATATGGATTGCACTATCATGTTAGCAGGTGTACATCTTTGTTTTCTTTATAGTATGGAGACTATGTATACCCCAGCAGCACTTCTGGGTCTAGTGATAGTCCAGTAAGGCCTCGAAACATCCCAGTTGACCTTGATGCTTCGTGGGCTCCCACCCCTATGCCACCTAGGAATCAGGACCTTGATAATCTGAATCAGTTTCTTAAGCGAGGTGGAGTTAACACAGTAGCTGGTCAGTTGAAGAAGCCTTTAGAAGATGCTACAGAACGCACCAAGAGGTAAGAATGCTTCAAATTATGATATGATAAGTAATTAATTTTATGATAACTATTTAGAGAAGAATACCTAAACAAAAATTTTAATTTCATTGTATTACTTTTTAGCATTAGTCATTTTGAATTATAAAGACTTACTTAATTGCTGTACAAACTTTTATTTGTAAACTATTTATCTGTGCTGCAGATACTATAAACAGAAAACCCGCGAGGCAATCAATTTGGTCCTTACATCCCTTGCCCCTGGACAGGAAGAGGACTTGTGGCTAAATTTCCAGCTACCAGAGAAAGATCGAACTCCAGCCCTTACAAGTTCACTTGTAGAATGTTACCAGGCTGCTGATTCATGGGATGTGAGACGTCAGATTTTGTCATTGCTTGTTAGACACTTCCACATCAGAACTCATGGTAAGGGTTGTCTTTTTTTTTCTTTCTTTAATGGAAAATTATAATTTTATGCATTTATTGTAGTGATGCTTTCTTCACACATTGACCACTTACTAAAGATGATTTATTGATTTTATATGTTGCACCTAATAATCATATTGAGAACACGGCTCTTTATCTTGATCTTTAAATTTTTTATTACAGAAACTTATCCCTGGTTTGACCAAGTATAGGATATCAGAAGCAAGAAAGCATGCAGCTGAGGTAGGAAAGGGTCAACCTGTCCAAAAACAAGAGAGCAAGAGATCAAGATTGGATATGGTGAAAGTTGATCATTTTTTGGACTTTATCTCCAGACCAGAGTTCCTCCAAGATGTAGCCTATGGCAGCAGGATGTTGAAGTTGAGTTCTGGTGAGACGATTGAAGTTCCCAATGCTGTGAGGACACTTATTGCATCACGGCTTGTGCAGCTGTACCAGCTGTACTGTGAAGAGAATGATTTTGTTCCTCTTGGACGAAGTACTTTGCTCAATATATTGCAGGTAAATTTGTATATAAAACTGCTACACTTTATGTATGAGCTAAAATGGTTGAAAGCCTTTAAAATTTTATTATCTTTCAAATACAGTCTATCCTAATTTGATATTCTCACCTCACACTTTACATGTCAAGCAATGTGGAGTCAATATTTCCTTTTTTTTTTCATCTTCAGGTCTGTGAAGCCTCCCAAAGAAAGTCAGTTGCTGGATTGGATAATATTGCTGCTGAGGGAAGCACAGCATTTGAGACATTGGAAAATATTGTACTGCAGTTAGGAGAGCAAGGTAATATTGGTAACTAATTTGTTTTATGGTTTATTATGAAGAAGCCTGTTGGATAGTTTATCATGTTTTCATAACCTTCTAAGAAATGTAAAAAAAAAACTAACATAAATTGGTAGATGATAATGAATTCATGTCTTTTGTGGTAGTAATTACTTTTGCATTTCTTTTTATTTAGGTGTGCATTTGAGTGGTATTTTATTTTTTCTTTGTGGACCAGTGTCATTATTTGAATTCGAAATTCAAGACTAGTAATTCTATAAGATTCATTTTTAGGGTTTTCTGGTGCTTGGGTTAAAGAACAACACTCCAGACTAAGAGATTCCAAGAACTACCTGAAGTCAGACTACAAGCTACACATAAAGAAGGAGGATCAGTGTGCTGACCACTGTATAAGTTATGCCTTGTCACTTCCTCCTCAATGCAACCATGATCACAATATGGCCTGTGGTAGCTGTGATGGCCTTTCTTCTATTTTGAATGACATTGAAGTTGTCATAATGGAGGAAAAAACAACCTTCAGGTAAATATTTTGAAGGTATTGGAAATGAACTGGAGGCGTCTGTATATGCATAATGGATTGTATGTGTCTCTGTCTTTTCTTTATTATTATTATTATTATTCTGGTTCTCATTTTATATAAAAAATATGTTTTTTTTTAAATAGGTACCCAGAGCAGAAAGAGGAAATGCTCTTTGACTTCAGTAAATCCAGAGATTCAATCTTCTTGTGGAAAAATCACATAGTGAGATCTAAGAACCAAGACCAAGGAAAAGTGGATGTTCTAGAAAACCTTACCTCAACACAAGCATTGGTCACCATGGATTGGGCTATGAAGTTTTTACCCACTAAGTTTAGAGAGGCACAACAAGACTGGTTTGCCAAAAAAGGGATTTCGTGGCACGTCACTGCAGCAGTGACTATTGGTGACGGTGAAATCATGATGTAAGAAACATAGAAATCTCATCAATTATAGATATCAGATTGATAATTCTGTAAACTTTAAAAAAAATGTTTAGAATATTCGGTTAGTTTCTACTAAGCAGGGCCAAATTTGATGGCATTGAATTCTTTTACAAAAAGTATTCATAATATCCTTCAATCATTTTGCATGAAAAAAAATTGTTTTTTGTTTAGAGTTTATAAACATGTACACAATTCCTTTTTCAGATACATTGCTTTACTCACCTGTTGGACAACTGTGCACAAAATTGGTTTGCTGTCCTTTCAATTTTGGAATCATCCCTCCGTGAATTACAGAAGAGAGTTCCAGCTATCAAAGAAGTGTTCCTGAGATCTGATAATGCTGGTTGTTACCATAGTGCTCAACTGCTGCTGGCTATTCCTGAACTATCTTCCCGTTTAGGATTACAGATTAGGCGCTATGATTTCAGTGAAGCACAAGCGGGAAAAGATATTTGTGATAGGAAAATTGCCCCAATGAAAAGCAGCATCCATAGATTCATTAATGAGGGGCACGATGTTACCAGTGCCCAGCAAATGTACACTGCTATTCAGTCATCTGGTGTCCGTGGGTGCTATGCAGTTGTGTGTGAGATAAATCTTTCCAAACAGCAAAGCTTCAATCATAAGTGGACTGGGGTTAGTGCCTTTAACAATTTTGAGTATTCTCAGGAGGGAATCCGTTGTTGGAAAGCGTATGGCCTTGGGCAAGGAGAGCTGTTCCCTGTCTCAAAATTACAAGAGTTTGGTGGTATGCAAGGTGAGACAGACCTACTTTTGATGACACCATTTTCTGAGCCAAAAGTAGCAACAGGAGTGACTGGCTGGAGACGTTCTGTTGATGCCCCCAAGTTCAGATGTCCTGAACCAGGTTGCATGAAGTCCTTTCCAACTGAGGAAGAACTTACATCTCATACTGCTGCTGGTCAGCACCTGTTTGAACATGCAGGATATGACCTCGTTAGGTCCAAGTGGGCCCAAAGATTGGGTAATGTCAAGACAACCAGCACTTCTGAAAGTGTGCTAGCTTCGAGCACCTCGGAACAAGGGGACAGGAGGGACCTCCCAGCTGGCTGGGCCTTGAAGGTTCCAAGAAGTGGTAAAAGATACTCGCAAGAAGTGAAACAATTTCTGCTGGCAGAATTCAAGAGAGGACTTGAAAGTGGAAGAAAAGAACAACCAGCAAATGTAGCAAAGAAATTGAAACTGTATGTTGATCCTGTCAGTGGCAGGAAGCAGTTCACAAAAGAAGACTGGCTGACAACCCAGCAGGTTGCAAGCTACTTTTCGAGACTTTCTACGTTAAATAAATGTGGTCGTCTGCAAAAAGAGTATGAAATTGATGAGGCAGATGAGGAGACAGTTAAGGATGTTGTTGAAAGATTATCAGTTCAGTGTAAGATTCTGCAGGCAGTTGGTGTTTGATATAACCATCATATTCATAATATGAAACAGTGCATGTTTTTTGTTATATGGAACTAAAACAGTTATTTTGATTATTTGAAGATTGGGTGTCTTTATGCACTGGCACAGTGACAATTATATATATATATATATATATATATATATATTTTTTTTTTTTTTTTTTTTTTTTTGCTGTTGCCTACGTTTTCCCAGACAAATCTTTCCATGGTGCATGAGAAAAAATTGTTTCATTCAGTTGAAGCAAGCAGAGAACAGTACTAGCATGCATGATGTTTCCCTTTTATAATGACAATTTTGGATTGCTTTCTTATAATTTTGATAATGTAAAAGTAAGAGATTCCTTAATAGTTATTAATATTTATATCAGTATTGTGTGTGTGATCGGTACCTTTAGATGTTCAGTAATATGTTCAGAGTTTAGTCTATAATTAGTAGTTTCATGTAAGAATACTGAAAGAAATTTTTCCTTTTCAAAATAAATAATATAAAAAACAAATATACCACTGTAGTTTTTTTTATTATTACCAAATTATTAAACGAACCCAATTTAATTTAACTTCATGTGGAAGGCAGGTTAACAGATAAGTAGCCCCTGTCTCAACTGGTCAGCGTGTATTATGCGATGTAAAATGAAAATCTGACCTGTAAAGTTAAAACTACCTTGCTATGCTAAGTTGGAGGGGTAAACGACTCATCTGAAACCCGTGTCAAAAAAGGGCTGAAACAATTTGTAAACAGAGATACGAGTCAGCACCGCTATGAACCGAATCACTAGGTCAAACTGCCGGGCCGAATAACTAGGTCAAACTTCTGGTGATTTGAAATGGCGTGTCGTAAAAAATTCATCGTTGCGGCTCCCATCGGCCGTTACTTGAGCCAAATTAAATCTATTTTCAACCAGTCCTTGAAGGTTTTGTTGGTCATGACCGGTTAAATAGGCAGTTTAAGCTTGTCATCCAATGCAACCGTGCCGCGCGTTAAGTGAGTGAGCAGGTATTACCGGTCAAGACAAGAGCAACACACATCTAAATTCATACATTTTCAGACACCAATATATCGTCAACAAAATAAAAGGCCACGGAGATCTCTCTGGAACTTTATGTACCTAACCCTTCTTAATAAATCCATATAAGTTTGACAGTCACAGAACCTCTACTAGTGGAGATATCTCTTTTTGAATGTCGCCATGCTTCAACATGGCTTTGGGGGGTGGGGTAAAAAAAGAGGGTACAGCGCGAACAGGGTAGGTTATATTTTTTGTTTGAATGTCTTGGAAGGAAGAAAATTGATCAACAAAATACATCATATGGGTATGTTATAAATATGTGACTAGATAAGGGGGAAATAAGTATATATATGAGTTGTATGTTTACTGACTGAAAATCTGCTTCGAAGGCTGGTAAAATCGAAAATTGGGCATAAATCCCTAGAAATATGGTTTTGGACCCTAACATTTGGCAGAAGTTAAAAGGGTCCTTAGGCAAGTATTTCAGCCCAATAAGGTCAAATTCTGTGAACCACCACCTTGCCGCACTTGACTGGTGCTTAAAAAAATTGGCACTTAAAACAGTTTTCCATAATTATGTGTTGGACCACCCACCGTTCTGAAGTTTGGTAGGCTGGACAAGTTCAAGGTCATCCAGCAGACAGGGCTCATCTGCACTCCAGGGACAAACCAACCACTCCCCTTTCTCCTTCTTCAGCCCAAACAGGACGCCTTCCCCGGACTTCTCCACAAACACTCGGCTGTTGTCTCTGAACTCCACATGTTCACCAGACTGGACTGAAACAACAGGAAAGTAATTCCAGGTAATTAAGGACATTCAGTACAGTGGACTAAGGGGCCATTCCCACAGATATATGGATCGATCTATCTCACTGGGGAGTCTATAATAATAATAAAGGTTTATTGTGTTCTTTGCAATATATAAGACATATATTGAATGTATATGTATAAAAGTATAAAGATGCAGTATTAAAATAGAGCTTTAAGATAAATTCTAAATTATAAAAACAATAATGAGGTTAAAAATGGTGATTCGTTGTTCTTTTCAAAAGTTAAAAGTTCATGGATACACCTTGATTATTGACACGTATATAAACAGTATGGGATAAATGTGTTTCTATTTATCCCATACATACCTCTAGGGCTAGTCAATGCTGATTGAAAGGTAACACAACACCTGGGGCTTATTCCAGAAAAAGAGGAAAGTGAAACAATCTGGGACAGTGATACAGGCCCAGGACAGACAAAAAAAAAATTGTATGTCATTTTGGTCACCTCCTTGGATTCCTATGTTAAGGTTACAAGTAGAGGAGAAAACTGTGCACTACCTCATAATATTATGAATAGTTCTGTACTTCAATGATATATAATATGAATTACTAGATTAGGGGAAATTAATTAAAATGACCTTCTCAATTTTGGATCAGCTTTAGTACATGCAGCTTTTATATAAATACAAATTTTAATAAATAAATTATTTTAAAACATTCTGTATACATGCTTAATGCATAGCAAATGGCTTTCTGTCAGTGATTCTGCTCATCTTCACATACTTTCAATATCATAACAANCGAACTTGACCTGCATTTTATGAATATTAGTCAGCTCTGTAAATATAAAGCCAAAAAGTAAAACTGTCTTCCACTTATGGTGTTAACGCTGAAAGTGCACGGCGACGGCGACATGATCGGCGACGGCGACGACAGACGCAGGTGATGGCAATATGTACAGACACATCTGTGTCTGTACATAAAAAGTTATGAAAGGTCAGTACTAAGTTATAATGCCTTCTTTAATATTAATATGCTTTATATTACTGTTTCAGAAACTATTACAAGGTCTTTTCCTAGTACAAGGTCTCTTCCTTCCACAGAAAAAAATAAAAAATTCTTTTTTTTTTTAATTTACCTTTTCTCCTTGGCAGTTTTTTAAGAAACAACCTCTTAATGATAGATTTCTCCATGTTGATATGAAAAGCATCTGAAAACCACTTCAACTGAATCAGTTGGAAATTACTCATATCTGGGATACAAAAATTGCAATCTCATAAAATATCTCAGTCTGTGACAAATTTCATGATCTCATGATCTCATTTGGAAGTAACCACATTTTATAGCATGAGACACATTGATCACAGCTTAACAGTGCATTTTCTTTTTTCTCTTCTTTTTTGCATTTTAAATTTAATTATTATCGTATCTTAATAATTTATACTGCTTGCTAACCTTTTTTAAAAGGGGTAACAGCTCTTCCTAAGATATTTAAAATGCCATAATAAATACATTGTAAACAACACACAGAAATATTATAAACCAAAATGAAAGCATTGCTATTTACCTGAGGAAAATGTTTTATGGCACTTTTCCTGTGAAAATGAAGAGTTGTTATCTCTTTAAGCAAAGACATCTACAAGATAGATCTACAAGATCATATAAAGCAAAGGGGCTGCAAATGCACAGTATGACTAAGTGTCATGGCAATGAAGACGAATGAAGTAATATACATACATGAACTTCCTATATCACATCATAGAGGACTGACTCATACAACATCTGGGTCAGTTACTGTAAGGGATTTTGTATTACACAGAGTCATCTGCTTGTCTATAAGATACATCTGATTGTCTACCAGTTCGACTGCCATGAAATTAAGCACTTCCAAAAAATAAACCAAAAATGGACTTCTGCATGTGTGAGGTAGGTCAAATAATGGTAATAATTATATCTTTCCTGCCAGGAAACGACCTACTGCCGAGAACATTTTCATAAGTTGCATTGGCAAATATTTAATATTATTATTATTATGTGGGGGGTGGGGTGGGGGGGGGGCCGGGGGGGGGGGGGTCTAGCAAATCTCTCTTATAAAAAAGTCTGTTCATACCAAGAGAGAGAGTGTATGATTTCATGGTGACTTAACTGGTAGACAAGAAGATGAATCTTACCTTACTGATGGCTCTGAGAGGACACACTTTTATGGAAAAACTGGTTGGCTTCACAAGAGTGTGCAAGTTGAAGAGATGAGAGATAACTAAAGACGATAATTTGAGATGGTGAATGTGGGAACTGGTCGTCATTTTACACTTTTTGAGCCCTTTAGTTTCATGCGTTAGCACAGCGTATGTGTTAAAAATCATCAATAGGAAACTCCCCGAGTTATAACACATACATTTCATCCCACATTTGCTACCAAGCTTGCCATCGTTTCTGACCCCTCTCTCCACCAAAATACTGTGAAATCTTGATTGATATTATGCTAAGTCTGAAGACTTTAGGCTATCTCGGATTATCCCCATTGGTGGTGACTGTGCAGTGCGAGCTCACAAGTTTCAGGTACAAAGCCAATTGTGACAGAATGGCATAGTTTGAAAACTGTACAGATATTGTGGGCAGTACCATGGGCACTACCTCTACCCAGCTGGTCAAGCAGCAAAAACCTCCCTCCCAGGCACTGAGAAACTAGACAGTATGCATGCAAGTCAATGGGAAATTGTCTTTGCCAAAATATGAGACATAAGGAAAAACCACACATTTTTCTTTTATTGCCTGTAAAAACTTGCCCGTGGTGGGGACTTGAAATAGAATGAATCTTCAATTTTCCCAGTAATATGAAGCAAATTTCTTGTCATAATTTGGGCAGATGTATTATGTAATGCTCGCCCTTATTTTTTCCTTTCCTTCAAACGGCAGGCAACGTCAAAATTAAAAGTTAAAAGCCATAAGTAATCTATATCATTATGAGTCTACGAGCAGTCCCTTTACACGGTCTTGTTCAAACATAACACCGACACCTGTTTGTTTGGTTTTCTTGTCAGATAAGAGGTGTCATGTTAATCACAAAACAGTGTCACTTCCAGAACGGATCCAGGATTGTTTATCCGCTTGCTTACCTAGCCACTGTTCATCTTCCGCCTCCGCCAGAGACACTCCCTTCCCTGTCTTCAAGTCAAGGATACATTCTGCGTCTCTGAGCTGCTCAGAATCCATGATTCTAGCAGAAAAATGGAGAAATATTTCGTTTCATCTTATCTCAACTCCTCTTCCTTTTCCATTTTACCGTTTCTGTACTTCAATGCAAAAGAGGTAAGGGGTCGAGTTCGACTGTGTTAGGAGATTTGTTTTGAAACTTCCCGGGAAAATTAGAGGAAGGCTGAGACAACGTGCAACGCAAATGCGATTTTCGTAAGGTTTTTCGGTTTATTCTGCACTTGACACCTATGTTTGAATATGTTTTAAATGCATTCACATAAATTTTGAACATTGTTAAGTCTTAATGCTAAACTAAAGCAAGCATATATAATTTTTGCATATTATCATAAATCAGTACGTTAAAATACTCTAGGCTAATTAAAATCCAGAGCTGCATCTCACTTCAACGATGATTATACCAGTCTTATTTATTTAAGGTGGATATTAAATCATTGCAATTGTTTATCGTTATTGTTTGTTCCGGGGGAGGGGGGGGGAGAGGTTTTATATATATATTTTTTCTTTGAGGGAGTAAAAGAAAAGTGGCTTTTCTCCTACCTGCATGGTATACAGTACATGTAGTCTAAATTAATTTAAAGTTTTTTAAACTACTATTGCATGTAGTTGACAGTTCCAGGAACACCCCCTACCACCAAGACACACTCAAACCTCCCGACATCCCTTTTCACATGGGGTTCAACTACCATTCTTCCCAAAAACACTCAGAGACCAGCATGTTTTTTTTTTTAAATACACCCATACTCAGTATTGAAAAAATTGCCCATGATTCCCTCATTCTTTTAAGTATCTCTTTCAAGGGATGGTGAGTGTTGTGGGAAAACCAAACATCCTTCAACCTTTCCTGATGTACACATGTTAATGATATTTTTAAAAAGATTTAAAAAAAAAAAAATACATGTACTAGTAAATTTATTTTGTAAAAAAACAAACATGAGTTTTAGTAGCTTGTTTGTGAACAATGCTGTTTTGTCTGCAGTGATCTTTATTATTATTTTTATTGTTGTTGCTGTTGATTGCATGGTTTTACTTTGTATAGGTAAAATTCTAAATAGTTGACATTGGAATAGGAGTAACAGTAGGCTATAGGTGGAAGTGACAACTAGTCATAACAATAACAATAACAATAAACATAAGGACACATTGCTTTTGGTGTTTCTGGTCACATATTAGGTAAACAACAAAACAGTGACCCAGTCACCTTATACAATCCTCACATGCAGGCTAAGACTTTCTATGTGTGTTGTATTATATATGGTAAGAGAGGACACACTTTTATGTAACTTGACCTAGTAACCATGTTTGACACAGAGGGGCACTACTGTAGCAGAGGTACATCTACATGTACATGTACACAATACTGTTAAGTTACTGAAGATAAAATATGGTGAGTTTTGTAGTGATTGTATCACAGCATCTTAATTTTTGCAATCAAAATTACTAACTAAAGTCTTTTATTTTAGTGACATACATTGCCTGTTACTGCCTGTTAAATTGTCTCCAGCACAATTGTAGACCTGCAAATCCCTTTTGCTGTGTTATGGTTGCATAAACAACATCATTACATGTACCTGTAGTATATACAGAATTTTAAACAATTAATTTACATTTAAATACTAGTATTTGTCAGTAATTAAGCATGCAGATGAGTCACTCTCTGCAGTAGTTATATGTATATATAGCTGTGCCACGGGCGTGCCTGATTGTTGTCCTGCATTGGTATCTTTTTCTTAAACTGATTATAATATGATAAAGGTTTAGCAGAGGTATATTTATGTCCATTAACAGTTCTCATTGCACTCAGATATAGGTTACTTTTATATTTTCAACACTACTTGAACTGAAATCATGCGAGTTACTGTTTTATGTACTGTAACAGTATTAAACTGAGCAATTACCAGGTAATTTTCCCCGCTACTAAGTCTTTAGAAAAATTAGATGCTAGAACAGATTACTGCTGCAGAGAATATATACCAAGTATATTAAATATATAATTTCAATTTGATGCTTGGTACTCACCGATAGGAACATGCATGAAGGAACATTTACTAAAGTTAATTGGGATTTCTGTACTTAAGGTTGTTTGGTTTGCAGCTCATTTTAGTCTATTCATATCTTTGTTAAGTGAATTGTTTTAATTGATATTTTCATTTAATATTTCATACTGGATACTTACAGGAAAAAGGTAAGTAAAAGTTAATGTTGTCATCCCAGCATATTTTATGTCTTTCAAAAAATTATATCAGTTGAAAAATGAAAAATAAATCGGTGAAATATCTGAATAAATTCAATTTGGTGATGTCAGATGTTTACTTTTTTCTTTTATTTTCTGTAAACACAGAAGGGTATTATTACTGCCTGAAATAATTTGTCATGTAGAAAATTTATGGATCAGAATTATTCATGAAGAAGAACAAATAGACACACTGCTATCTTTTTTTCCAATATATATATTGTAATATATTATTTCAACTTTCATAGTAGTCTTTGCAAAGAACCTCTCACCAGAGTCAACCAACAGGAACCTTAGGAAGACACATCCAGTATGTCCGACATGTCAGACATAATGGAAAGAACGCCCAAACGCCCAAAGCGTATTATCACAGAAGTCACCGAATCCTGCAGCACCAACAGTACAGAGATAACCGAGACTTACAGGTCGCCTCGACCGGCAAGAGGGGATGGTGAATCAAGTAGCCGCTACTGGAGGGAAGGGTGGGCAGGGTTTGACCGCATGAGTCGATGGCAGTATCCGGCCAGTGTGACCAGTAGCTCTGGGATTAACATGTCATCGTCCCCTGAGGCCCAGCTGCTAGACTTGGACTATGACTTAGTGAGACAGCTTCAGACGCCAGATCAGGTGGGGTGGGGGTGGGATAGGGTGGGGTGAGGTTGTTGGATATAGAGAGAGACATTTTAGTGAGTTTTAACTTTTGAATCACTTTCATAATGGAGATGGAGGCTGGCAAATAAATTTTAGTTATGTTGATAAAAATGGAAAATTCAGCATGCAAAAGTGGGAGTATAAAAAAATTTTCAACAATTTTGGACAGGTTATACTAATTGGTGAATAAGACAAAATTGTATTTTTTTCTCCTTTGACATATTTATTACACTTAAATCCATCAGATAATATTTCAAGGATATTTTGCAGTTTGTTAATAAAACAATAATTATTTATACCAGTATATGTTGTAATTACAGATAGCCAGTATGGCCTCATCTTATGTCAACCAGCAGGTTCTCCTGCATAGTCACTGCCGCCTGACCACTCAAGAAATGGACCAGATTGTGAGAGTCATGCAGGTATATTAGGCCCCATTCAGATCGAGAAGAGCCGAGTGCTAGCTTGGCCACGACCTAAATATGGCGGACCTACATGAAAGGAAGACCGCTTAATCCTGTAATGGTCTCTCCGCCTCTCACACGCCTCCCCACGCGTGGTCCCTGCAGGGACACAGTAATTAAATCTCAGCTCACTTCAACCGGTCAAGGGACGGTGCGTTGGGAGCTGTGTGAGAGGCGGAGAGACCATTATAGGATTAAGCGGTATTCCTTTCATTTAGGTCGCGACCTAGCTAGCACTCGGCTCTTCTCGATCTGAATGGGGCCTTATAATATATCTCACTAACGCACAGAGATTCACAGGTTTTGGATAAATTAACTGCATGAGGGTGATTTACAGTACTAAATTCAAGTAGTTGAATGGTGAGGTTTTATTATTTTGATAATAATTGCTGTTGCTGGGACAGGGATGTATATGATAATTTTTAATTAGCAATTTGCAAAATGATCCTTTCTTATTTTATTCAAAGTCTGATGAATTCATTCATTTTGAGTCATTTATGCATCCATTATTTCTTAATAGTTGATTTAGTTGTGCATGCATTAATGAATAGATTATGAATTAAATGATTGTTATTAAGTAATTATATAAATTGATACTTCATATTAGGTATTTATTTATTTTTTATGTTTAAGTAAGCAGAAAATATGTGTGCAAATACCATTTTGGGGGGATATATGATGTGACTGAACTGTGTTTCTTTCAGTTATTCTTTCTGATAAACATCTGGTTGGATTTAGAGGCTATGATTTACATATATTATTAAGTACCCCCATGTATCTTTAAATTGGTCTTCATTTCAGGATGTGGCCATTCTTGACCGGGATATCCTGCTGAAGTTTATAGTAGAGTATAACAAGTGTCTAAATCAGTATGCCTCCACCACTGCCTTGCATGGCCCAGTGATTAAACTGCTCCTGGATGTGCTGCTGGTCTCTTTGGTATAGCATGTGTGTGTGTGTGTGTGTGATTATTTATTTATTTATTTATTTATTATTATTATTTGTGTGTATGTGTGTTATAGAGGGTATAATTGTATTCAGGCCAAACAATATTTTATAGTATCAGTACAAGTTTGGTGTCATTTAACATGTATTTCTGTTTTTCACGTATCTTAATTTATTCTTTAAAATTCCATAAGTAATGAAATAATATGTTGAAATTGACTGGAAAATCCTAATCCTAGTATTGGAGTTTCGAGGTAAAACAATGCATTCTTAAAAGAAACTGTTGCTTACACTTTTATGTTTTCACTTTGTTTTAATCTTTATAATTTTTATCATTTATTTTTAGGACCCTGTGGAAAATGTAATTGTTTGTCTTCAGCTGCTTAGCATATTTGGTCAATTTACTCAAAACCTGACTGTCATGATTGAGTGTCAAGTGGCGGCCACAGTTATGGGTGTCATGGCGGTCCACAGCCGTCACGCGCTGGTTCAGCATCATGGCTGCACCATATTGGCATACATTGCCACATATCAACAACTGCCAAATAAAAAGGTAATATTTTGTAATATTTGTTCTTCATGACAACAAAGAAAATAATGAGCTCATCAATTGTACTACGAAAGAGGCTTTAATAATTTCTTTAAATAAAAATAGAAACAAGGCAGCAAAGCTGGCAAATGTACAGACAAAAACCAGAAAATAAAAACGCAAGAAATAGGATACTGTCAATTCTGATGAACTAATGTATTATGCTTACTGTAACTGCATAGCCAACATCAAATTCTTATTCTGCATAACATTGGATTAGGATGAAAGTAAAATGTATATCAAGCATTAGACTAAGTTCCCATACCTAGATCAATCTAACAGGATCAATGCAACTCCAAGGGGTTTCTCACTAAATTGCTTTCAGTTTGAGAGTCTTAGGATTCTGGCATGCCAGTTTCAGTAGGCGTGACAGACAACTAAGCCACTTACATTGATTGCAATTTAGCGAGAATTCCCATGGAGATAGATCGATCCACAGTTAGCGTGATAGGGTCTGGAAATAGTCCCTAAGGTGTCAGGCTGATAAGAGTTAAACTTTGGAAATGCCAGAATGA